CCTCTTCTTCCTTTCGCGTGGTTACTTCCGCTCTCAGGCGCGCTCTCGCCGCCGCCCTGTCCCTCCCTCGGGATCCTTTGGCTCTCAACGCACCCGAGTCTGCTGCAACCCTCGACACTCCCCTCGTCTCACCGCCCGCCTGCTCGCGTGCCACCAGAACTGCCTTCGCGAGATCCGCTCGTCGCTCGAGCAGAGCAAGCCGATCGTCCTCGTCCAAGAGGCGGACCCTGACAAGGGCGGCGGGACGCTCCAGGCGCTGCGCGGCGAATGCCCCGACGACCTGCAGCAGGACATCTTTGAACAGGGCTGGACGCACACCGTGTGGATGCGAATTGAGGAGTATCAACGCGTCTCGCTCAAGACAATCGCCGAGGCGCAGCGGGACACAGAGCCAGCCGCAGTCCTCTCGCCCCCCACCCCGAGACCTCAGCTCCGGCGCCCTTGAACCGCAGGCGGTGCTCCTCTGCTCGCCCAACTATCTGAGCCAGACCTCCCTCCCGCTCTGCGTGCCGGGCGAGCCCGAGAGCCAGTCGCTCGCCTTTTCCAAACAGACCACGCTCTGGGCTTCGCCGGCCAACGCGGGCGCCATGGAGCTGGCCAACGAGATTGCCGCCACTTTCCCGAACCTCACCGTCTCCACCGCCGAGGCGCCCGGGCCAGCGACGCACATGCTGCTCTACCTCAACGAGCACACCTTCGTCAGCGACGAGCGGCTGGCTGAGCAGGTCCAGCAGGCGCGCCAGGACAGGCTGAAGATCGTCATGGCGCACGAGAACGACCCCGCGCTCGGCGGATGCCCCTTCTCGAGGTTCTTCGAAGTCACGCCGCAGGAGCGGGCTGGGGTTGGGTCATGATGCACTCCATCTCAGACGCTTGATCGCCCCCCCCACCCGCGTACCCTCCCTTGCAGGAGCTCATCGCCGGCGGGCTCTACAAGAGCCTGGCACGCTCGTGCTTCCCGGGGCGCCACCACCAGGCGCGCGTTTTGTCTCCCCCACATCTCGCCTTGCGCACCGGCGGTACACTCACCAGCCAGGGCGCTCAATTCCGCAGGTGTCGCTCGCGCTTCTGGCAAAGGACCTCGGCGCGACTCCCGCTCGGTCGGGCAGCGTCGCAAGCATGAGACGCCTCTCGGCCAGCATCGCCGAAGCTAGCAGCCGGCTCGTTCGCAGCCGCAGCTCTGCGACGATAACCACCGCGGGCGACGGCTCTGGAGGCGAGGCGACGGTCTCGGTGGACTCGGAGGAGTCGGCGGTCCCGGTGGAGGCGGTGCAGGAGCAGGTCTAGCCTTGGCGGCTGCACACACGGCAAACGCCATTTTGAGCAATTCACATGAGCATGCACCAGCGACCCGTGGGGCCGGGGAGGCGGGGAGGCGCGTGCCGCATCGGCGACCCCCACGGGTCTGGGTCCATACCCGTCGCGCGCTCTCGCACTGGGGGCTTTCGCGCAGGAGCGGAACTGCTGCGCGGCGCGCCTTTCTCTGGAGAGGCGTGGTTGGGAGGAGGGAGTGAGGGCGGGGGATGCACATGTACAGCTGAGGCGCCGGGGCAATAGTTGCCTGCGAGGCGTCTCGCGCGCTAGCCAGGAGCGGCGGGCAGCGCTGTGGGTCCTGGAGATCGAGAAGGGATCTGAAGGGTGTGGAGGCAGAGGGGAGAGACCACGTAGACGTACAGTAGTGAGAGTCTCGCATGGTGCGCACAGCTCTAGACAGCGCGCGTCGTTGCATTTTCTTGAGTGGGATGAGGGAACAACGAAAAAAAAATGACACCTTGGAGCTACGTGCACATACGACATAGGCAAGTTGGTATTTTCATATACGTGTATGAACTTCAAAATAACATTGGCTAATCTAGTTCTACTCATCACGACTCGCCAGAAACCTAGCCAGAAACACCCGCACACTATGGGGTCATTGTGTGAGAGAGATTTTTAGCAATACCAAACAACTCTAACACTCACTCGTTTGTTTGTTTTTTGCATTGTGTAGCTTTGCTTAGAAGGGAAAGGTTTACTGCAAGGTCCGTATGCCTGGTTACCGTGTAGTCGGCCGGCAATCGCAGAGCAGATTGTGAATGAGCTTGCCTGCGGCGAGGGCGGTCGAGTGTACGGAGCTACGAGAAGTGCCTCGCCGCCCTCGCAGGAGTCGCTTAGGCGGCTCCCGTGGTGTACCTGTGTTAGTGCCAGTGCGCGCCAGTCCCGTGCCCGCAAACGTGCGCACTTGGAGCACTTGGAGTGCAGTCATTAACCTCACATCCAGGGCCGGGGAGCTAAGAAGCGCACCCAGCGGGCCGGATGATCGGTATCGGAAAAGAAAGAAAGAAAACAGACAACCCGAGGGAGGGATGGGAGGACGGCACGCCGCCACCACACGGGGATTTTAAGGAGAGGTGTGTGATGCGCTATTGATTGACACATCCTGAGCGAACTTCCCTAGTCACCCGCGGCCGGACTCCATCCGGCACGCGTCGCTGGGCGCTCAGGTATGTATGTATGTAGGAAGGTGAAGAACAGTCAGGCTCGGACTGGACACCAACGCGGTATGGGTGGACGCAAGACAGATGATGACGCTCAGGCCGTCGCCCACCCTAGGGGGAGACAGTCTGCCTCTTCCTATCTCTCTTCGCAGTGTGTCTCTCGCCGCTTCTCGCTGCAACCTTCATGCCACCTCGCGGTCGTCCCACTCTCGTCGTTCTTTCCCATCGGTAAAAGAAAGAAAGAATTTATTACGGGCTTGCGAGGGTTTTCTCGGGGAGGGTACCCATTCGGTGTTGGTACTCCCTTAATGTAGGTAAACCATAAAAGTGATTTGAATTCGTCCACGTACGGCTTCGTGAGTGGTTGGGGTGGCCTCAAGCATCCCCAAGGGAGCCTCTGCGGTGCCACATAAGCAGCTTGGTGATTGTCGAGACTTTGAAGGATTCGTTTGAAGAAACGCAAACAGGCCAGACACTACTATGGTCACCAGTAAACCATAATTCGACTTTGAGGGATCATATCTCAAAAAGCCGGGAGATAACAGAGCATTATTGTTGCATATTATGCCACATAAGGTCAAACTTGACCCCACAAGCATCAAGAACCCGATGCTCCGGCTCAACTGTGCCGGCACACTGCCTCCTCACGCCTGCTGCCAGCAGCCGTCGCGGCCCGTGGTGCACCAGAGAGAGAGGTCGACGCGTTGCCCCCGCCGGCGACCCCGCGCGGCTCAGGCCGGCCAGAAGGTGTCTGGTGACGGCGCCGTGGCAGGATTGCGGAGAAGAGCTCGCCGAACGCGAGCAGAAGATGTCCAAAGTGTGCCAGCGCGAGAGCCTCGCGAGCGGGCGCAGAAGGAGCTCGCCGTGACACGATGCCGGGCGGTGGTGGTGCTCTGGCGGCTGTGCACAGTGGGCAAGGTCAGGCTGCAGCAGGGCAGCACGATGGTAGTGCCCTGCTGCAGCCTGGCCTGACATGCACAGGGCGAACAGAGGCGGTACTATCGTCCGGCGCTCGTCGTCGAATCTGGGCCAACTTCGACCGCCGCCACAGCTCGCCACGAGCACGCAGCGACAAAATGTTGACTTACGGAAGTTGAGGCTGGTCGAGAGGAAGAGGCTGCCGTGCGAGCCGGCAGCAGGCTGGCTCGTCGTGGACTGCAGCGGCGACTTTTATGGGCTTCTCTGTTCATAGTAGCGTGCACGCTACTATGGTTTACCCACATTAAGGGAGTAGCGAACCGACGCTGCTTGACCTGCCAGCGTCGGTTCGCTCTCGTCACGGTCGGGCGTGCGAGGCTCCTGTGCCTCCGGTGAAGCCGATGCTCAGCCCTCTCCCACCGTCGCGGTTCGCCCGTCACCTCGCCTCTCCGCAGGGTACATCTCTCGCGCCGGCTGCATCTCTCCGCCGGTCGCCAGCACCCGCGCCACCGACTAGCTGCACCGCCACTCGCGACGCGCCACCCTCGCGCACAGCCTGCATACGCTACTCCCGCCGTGCCTTTGCTACCACATGGATCGCATGTCACTGCAAACGCGCCCGCAGCCGCGCCGTAAAGGTCTGCCGTGCTGGCTGACGATCTCACTCTCCCGCTCCTATTGCATCTGCCTCCCGCCTCCCAGCTCACATTTCACACCGCAGTAGGTGCTCCGGTCGACGCTGCCGCCGTTGCCACCGCTACTGTCACCGCTCGTTTGATAATCGACGCCACGCTTAGCGGCAGCGAGATCCGCATTTTGAGCCGAGGTTCATTCAACTTGCCTGGTGCGCTCTTGCGCGTGCCTTCAAGATCCACAAGTCAATTTGCACCAGAAATCCAAAGGTGGTGCAAAATGGATATCTCAAGATTGGCCTTTAGTTCGCGCACCTGCTCTCCGCCGCCGCCGCTTACCTGCTGGCACGCCACCGCCCCGCGTCGCTAACTCAAGCCTCCCTGCTGCATCTTCGGACTTCGCACCCCTGCCACATGACTCGATCGCCGTCGCTGCTACCGCCCTCTCCGCCGCCCTCGAAGGCGCCACCAGCATTACGGCCGCCTTCATATCTCATTGATGCTGCCACCAACGCCACCTCCTCGATTCTGTGCCGCTGCCGCGGCGAGGCGCCGTCGCCACGATCGCCGCCAGCGCTGCTGACAGCCTCGGAGCGTCGCCGTGGCCGCGTTCTGGTCTGCCCACGCTTCCCCTAAAACGTCTAGGACGAGCTCAGAGGCTAAGGGCGCGTCCTGTGGGACCATCTAGCTCTACTGGGTCCGCGACGGCGGTCGGCGCACCCCCGTCTCGAACGTGTGTGCTCTCTGTCTGTCTGTCAGCTGTTTCGGCTAAGTCGTTTTGTACCGGATTTCAATGTTAGTGGCAAAACCGCGGAACCGAAAATGGCGTTTAATTTCGGGCCCCTGCTGTCCGCCGCCTGCGGCGGCGCTCCGCGCCGCTTGGGGCGCCTGCGGCGCCCCTGGGCGCGCTGCGCGCGCCTGTTTTGGGGGGGCTACCAGCACCGAAAAAATCCCGTTTTCTCGCTGTTCGCGGCGAGGAGCGGCGCGACGGCGCGACGGCTGGCGGCAGGTAATGCAGCAGCACACGCAGCAGCGACGGCTTGGCCGTGGGAGGAGCGGCCGGCACGGGCGCGGCCGAGGCAGGCAGAGCAAAGACGGCGTCGACGCGGAGGGGGCTTCCGAGACGGACGTCGGACTGTGGAACTGCGAAGCGTGCACGTATTTCAACGCGGCATGGCGACGGCGGTGCGAGATGTGTGGCACCGCAGCCCGCAGTGGGAACGGCGGCGGCACTGGCGGCGGCGGCACTGGCGGCGGCGGCACTGGCGGCGGCGGCGGTGGCAACGCTCGGAACCTGAGGCGGGCGCAGCGGGAGGCGGGAGCCGCGCTGCTGGCGTTCACCCACGCGCCTCGAGAGGCGGCGCCCGCTCGGACGCCTGCGCGGCGCGCCGCCGCCAAGCTGCCGCGCCCCGTCGCCAAGATGCGCTTCCTGAGGGCGCACTACCACCTGCTCTGCCCCGTGGCGAGCGGCGAGGCACGTGCGTCGGTCGGCTGGGAGGACTGCAGGGCGGCGAGGCTGAGCAGCCCAGAAGCGGAACATCTCGCTCCACACCCTTACCTCCCCCCCCGCATCTCTCCATCTCTGGCAGCACGGACGCGCTGAGCAGCGCAGAAGCGGAGCCTAGACAGCGTTGGTACGCACTCTTGTATCCCAACTAGCGCTCGAGCCCAGCGTGGGTTCAGTCCCGTGGGGGGTGCGGTAGTGGGTTCAGTCCCGTGGGAGGTGCGTTAGTAGGCTGAGCACCTCCGAGGAGGTGCAGTGCCCGATCTGCCTCGTCGCGCCGGCAGCTGCGCCGCAGGTGGCCACCCCACCACGCCCTCCGCCCAGTGGGCCCTGCCTCATGTCAACCTACTGAGAGAACTATACCAACTCTCCTTTTTTCCCGCCGCCAGCCCGTGTGGTACTGCATTTGGCGTCCTGCGGCCACACCACCCTCCGCCTGCCCTAGTCAGAGCTGACTACTCAACCCACTTCCAGGTTGCCTCCTGCGGCCACATCCTCTGCCTGCCTTGTGCGCTGCGGCTCCACGCCGCCGCCGTCGACGAGGAGCGCGCGCGCAAGTCACCGCACCACCCAAAGGACCGAACCCACGCCGGATTCGACCACTCTGGCGGTATGGGAGTAGGAGCGCGTCTGCAAGTGCCCCGTCTGCGCCGACGCCCTCCACGTTTCGGAGCTGCGCACCGTGCGGCTGCGCCTGTCGGGGTAGGCGAGGGCGGCGGGCGAAGTCCTCGAGCACGTGCCGAGTCTGGTGGATAGGTGCTGCTGCTCTCTGTCGGGTAGGTGGGGGCGGCGGGCCAGGCAATCAGTCCATTGGCGATTGGATAGGTGCTGCTGCTCCCTGTCGGCGAGGTGAGGGCGGGAGGCGTCGCCACTTTCCGACGGCTCCCGCTGCCAGCGCCGCGCCGCCGCGGCGGGCCGGCGCCACCCAAGGTCTACGCCGATGTGTCTTCGGTGCCAGCCCTCGTGGGCGGCACGGTGTCGGAGGTGCGCTGCTTCCTCGCCTTCCCCGCCTGCCTCGGATCTACGTTCGGGTCTATCTCGGATCTACCTCGGGTCTACCTCTGATTGATCTCGGGTCTATCTCGGATCCTTACCTCGGGTCTACCTCGCACCCTCTGAATTGCAAGGTCCGCTGCTTCGCCTCCGCCCTCGACGCGCCCCTCTCGCAGCTCCGCGCCGCCGAGGCTGCGTTGGTGCTACCGACGCCCGCGACACAGCCCGCAACGACGCCCGCAACACCGCCCGCAACATTGCCCGCAACGC